TCATTTTTTCCCGTTTTTGGTACAAAATGCATCAGAGCCAGTTACATTAGCATGTGTGTTTTAATCGTGGAAAAGGAAATTTTATTTTATGCGATTAATACGAAGTAATTAGTAACCAACAAAAATGGTATTTTTGTCGATAAAACAGACGGCTTTAGCATCCTCTTAACGTTACAATCAAAAGGCCGTCATGTCCTCTTTTGGATCCTCTCTATAGTCATACTTAGCTAGAGAATTATATCTTATTTTCCAAACCAGCATAAGTCCTGAAATACAATAAATGTAATCATGGTGGAAAAAAACAAGATGAACCATTCCGATAGATGCGCAGTCATTTAAAAGTAGTGGGAAGCAATAAACTAGCAATGAATCAATTAGCTTTTTCCTAAGAAGTAGGGAACAACTAATTGACCGAAATTTTAAGCCATGCTGCCGTTATGTCGTCATTATGCGCAATATTTCGCCTTGTTTTTTTTCCACCATGGATGTAATAAGCCTTAAGCCGTAAGAAATTGACCAATCATAATCCATTATTCTTTTCAAATTCAACTGCAATTGACCAATTTCTTACGGCTTAAGGCTTACAACACCTATTGTTTCGGGACTAATACGCCTACATGTTTAAGGCTTAAGGCTTACTAACGATTGTCTATCACTCTTGGAACGCTTGTGCTCATTCTAGAATCTAGATTAACCATAATATAAAGACAAGGGTATAAAGACAAGGGTATGCTCGTCTGGTGCTCTTGCGCATTTGGATGCCGAGAGGCCAATCAAAATTATTAACTTAATTACGTTATTGTTACGTGGTATAAATTCGCGTAACGATGTATTATTTTAAGCATGCTTAGCTATATGTTCCAAAATTCATTGCCAATACTGAAAATTTATAGCTTACATTACATGCATTATTATTTCCTTGCAATAAAACCACAATTTTCACTCTACTATGTAAATAAAACACAGTCGCGTCACACGTGTTATCCATGCAGGTAATCCATGCCGTTATGCGGCCATATTTTACGAACACGAACTACTCCGGATATAGCCGAGGTTGGCCGATCACGGACACGACCATTCTGGATACAGCCGAGGTTAATCGAACGTGACATAAGCTGTTACGTAATAAGTTAGTTGCCTGCGTAGTGGTCTACCACCAGACGAGCATACCCTTGTCTTCGTACCATGAGATTAACAAAATAAAATCGTGCATGGACTAAGAACATTAATGTAGAAAAGTGATCACTTCTGAGTTTGTGAAATAATTGGTTAGATCTATTGGTAGGAACCAATCACTTGGTAAACAGACTGTATTCCGAAAACGATTTAAAAAAAGTGTTGCAACCTTTCTGTGAGCAAGTATACACCCACGGTCATTGATTCTGTCCCTCGGAATTTTCACAAACTCTAAAGTGATCACTTTTCTATATTAATGCTCATAGTCCATGCACGATTAACGAAACGAAATCGTGCACGGACTATAAGCATTAATGTAGAAAAATGATCACTTCAGAGTTTGTGAAAATTTCCGAGGGATAGAATCAATGACTGTGGGTGTACAAGATTCACCAAAACGAAATTTTTTGGGTCGCTATAATTATAGAATTTTCAGTTATTCAGCAGAATTCGGGATATCGAATCCAATATAGCGGGTGGAATATGACCAATGCATCTCACAAAGTTCATGTTGGAAGATTTTCTTGGATATAAATGTGTAGACATTTGCGTTTATTGGGTTTTCTGATTACATATTATCAATTTTTATTTAAAGTTCAAGGCTGTTGAGCCAATATGGTAGATAAAATATGGAAATAATGAAATTTGCATTATTTGAAGTTTGGCCAGCGCCCAGCATATTGGATTTACTATTGTGAATTTTATACTTATCAATGCGAATTTATATTCAGCGACCCTCAAAATGTTAATTTATGGAAATAGAAAAATTTTCTAATCCCCTGTGCTTCAGTAATTAAAGTTTGTTCAAAAAATGTTTTGATAACAGTCCATACTAGTCGCGATTCTAGATCCGCCATCTTGAATTTTTAAAAAGGCCACACAGCATGAAAAGTAGACATTTCAACGAAAATTTTAACACCTTTTGAAGTATTTTATCTCAAAAATTGAAGTGGACGGAGAGGGTGGCTCGCTTGACAGAGAATGTCCCATATATACGTATATATTATGACTGCAAATTAGTATTTAGCGACCCCCAAAACCTTAATTTATGAAAATAGAAAAATTTTCTAGCTTTCTACTGTGCTTCGGTAATTGAAGTTTATTTAAAAAATTTTTTACGACAGTCCACTAAGGACGCTGCCATGGTCGCCATTTTGAAATTTTCCAAAATCGTCACATGACATTCGATTCTATATAAAATGAGCTAAATTTTGAGTACTCATACGTTTAAATAGGATCAAATCATTTACAAGTAGAATTTCCGCAAATATGTAATATACTATATTATATATATATGTATATATGTACATATATATAGAGCACAGAGTTTAAAAAGATTCCACTCATATATTCAATCGTATGTCATCATTCTGATTATCTTTAGATGCAAAAGGAATTCTTTTTTAGAATTTTTAGAAAAATAATTTTTTTTGCATTTAAAAATAAACACAGAATTGATAACATGACCGAGTTCTATTTGAACTCTCTTAAAATTATTATTTGAGTATTTTCTTTCCTTTGTAAAATTATTTAATACAACAAAATAATAATAAGAAAACATATAAAAATGATTAAAAGAATAATTTTTTTTTAAACTTGTAAAAGAAATCCAAAAATTATTTTTTTCCATGTCTAGATATTATAAAGGTCAATTTGCGTTTCGAGAAAACAAATAGCATTGATTTTTTATTAAATATCTTGTATTCCTTGTTTTAAAAAATCGATAGAAAACGATAAAAACGATATAATCGTTTTTGATCGTAGTTATAAACCGTAAAAGAATTTTCATGTATAA